TTGTTTTTAAGTCACACAAGATAAAGCGCCCTGAATCATCGATATAGGTTTTCATAATTTGAAGATCGAAATTATTATTAAAAAGAATGCTTACGCCAGCTTTGCTGCTAGAAAAAGAGCTGAAAAGGCTTTTGCAACCCCATTCAGTAGCCCATAGGTGAGAATTTTCTTGCGAACAATGTACTTCTTGCAACATGTGAATCGAATATTTTTTAGATCTGAGCCAATTAAAAGTTTCTCTTCTTTTAGCGTTATTCCCAAGGCCCCGTACATTGAGAGAAGCTACCGTGATAGTATTGTTATCTGTTTTGTATTGAAATAATAGGAGATACAATGGATATCTGCACTGCTTGATTCGACAATAACAGCGTTATGGCCAGACGAAAATGTTTTGCATACAGTTCAGAATTTGTATTTTTTAAGCTTTGAAAGAAATTGTAAGCGAAAAATGTAGAAATATTTTTAGCGAGGTAGTCGACAAAACAGCATTGTAATAATACGAAGAGCAAGCTGGTGACATGAAAACACAAACGGTTACATATAAACATACTAAAGCGCGAGTATTTAAGCAAGTAATAGAAAAAATAAAGCATAAACAAAGATATAAAAAATCCTAATCAGTTTGGGGTTCAAGTGACTAGCAGGCTCGAAATGTGAAAACCAGATCGAGTAATTATTGTCGGACAGCTAAGCCGCCCGCCACCTAAGATTTATAAATAGAGAAAGTAAAGTTCTGAGGTATAACTAGTAAACACAGTTACTCATCTGCCTCTTCTGCTGCATCTATAAGTTTGCCCGGAGGCCAGAATTTGCCATTGATAAACAACTTGTCGGGCTGGCTCTTGCTGAAAGATGCCCTCATGCCTTGTCGTCGTGCTTCTTTGAAAACTGCCATTTGATCTTTCCGGCGCTTGATGATTTCCAATGGAAGATCGCGAAACATTTGGAAATCAATCTCTTCTAGTCGCCGGCCCAAAGAGAAAATTTCCTCGACATCTTTATATCGAAGAAGTCTGGCAATTATAGGACGTGGAGCTGTGTCGCTATATATTCCGTCGGGTTGTTAGACGGTGTACACGTTGAATTTCAACGCTGCGGGCGTTGTGGTAGCCAAGATCTCGTTCCATAAAATTTCTTAACACTTCTTCGGTATCTTCTTCTCGTACTTCTGGGATATTGAAAAATTTGATATTCTCTCTCCTGGAATAAGCTTCAAGGTAGAGGTTCTTGGAGGTGATGTCGTTTATTTGGTCGGTGAGCTTTCTCTCGCTCTCAGTCAGAGAGGTTATTCTTTTATTTGCTCCCCCATCTGCTTCTTTAACGTATCTCGATGTTCCTTACACTTGTCGCCATTGAAACTGCAAGACTTCTTTAATTCTGCTATATCGTTTTAAGCCGTTGCTTCAAACTCTTCAAGCTTGGCCGTTCTTGCTTTGAGGTTCGCCAAATTGGTTTCAATATTT